AGAGGAGCCGTCAGTGCCTGCAGTGAGAGCCTGCCGAGAGCTCCACGCCCTGCGCGGGGCGATGAGCTCACTGGCTACGCAGGACCAGACCGGGCCAGAACTCATAAGGAGACCTCCCAGGAAAACCAGGGGCCTGCCGGGATTGATGCTGGTGACTCATTCTGCAGCAAGTCTTTCGTCTGAGTCATCTCTGAATCAGTGTTCCAGGACAGCCGTGTGTGTGTGTGTGTGTGTGTGTGTGCGTGCGCGTGCATGCGTGCACGTGGAGTCAGCCTCTGTGAATAGCTCTGTCTTCAGTATAGGAGAGCCCTGGGTCCCTCATATCCCTGGGGACTCAGGCAGGTGCCATCTTCTGGGGTCCGAGCTGTGACCCTTCCCTGAGGTGCCCTCTGGAGCTCCCTCCCATATGCCAAGATGCTGCTGCCCTTGTGACATCCTGGGGAAGTGCACAGGCAGATGTTTCTCAGCTCTGGGAGGCCCTTCAGAGCTCAGTGGCCAAGGGCCCCGGGCTGCTGCCCATTCTTGTATAAAAGCACCTCTTAGCAAACCAAAGGAGCCAGGTCCCCCAGGACAGGGCAGGTCCAGGCTGGCAGCTGTCCACAGAAGGAGAACACACTGGGCCAGGGCTCCCCAGCTCACCTGGGGAGGGCAGGCAGAGGGAAGCACCCAGCTGAGGTCACTGTGTGACTGCCGCCCTGAAGCACCCCTTTATGTCCTGTACTAGTTTTGTCCTGCCAGTCCCGGATCTGAGCTGGGCACACTGTTCGAGCACATCCTGTCTGTCTTAATTATTTTGGGCAAAGTGATGATGGTTCCCGTAGGAGAGCACTCCGTGCCTTCTAATCAAGAGGCTCTCTGCTCTGGGCATAGCTGCTATGCCTTTCATCCTGCCCTGCTGAGTGGCTCCCGGGGTGGGCTGGGTGTGTGTGTGTGTTTACAGGGCTTGCCTGGCAGTGCGTGGCCCCACAGCCTGCTCACCAGGCCTTTCTCAGCATCAGGTGCCTGGCTGGGAGCGGGGAGGGGCCATCCGAGACCCATGGGATGGAGACTTTTGTCTCTTCTCTCAGATCCCCTCAGGGAGGCTTCCGAATGGAAAGCTCTGCTCCTGGCTTCAGTGAGACAGATTTCCCCGAGTTATTTTTGTCTCCTTTTTTCCTCCTTTAAGAAAGATTCTGAATCTTTGAAATAGTCTGGGGCATGCTCGTGACCCGTAGGATTGTAACTCAGCCTCGCAGGCCTGTGAGTTTGAGAACTATTGCAAAGAAGAGTTCTCAGTAGCTGATTGGGGCAGCCCAGGGATGTGTGTCAGGTGCTCACAGCGACTCTTTTTCTTTGTACGAGACCCCGACAATGTTCAGAACCGAGGCTGAGAGCACTCAGCTTTGGAACCCCGTCTGTATCACGCACAGATAGGCCAATACATGGGTGCAAGTGCAAGCCACGCCTGCCACATTACTTCCTTGTGTATGCATGTAGGGATTTTACAATTCTTTGCACATTTTTTCCTCTGACTTTAACACGTCAAATATGCATGAGGCACATTCATGAGTGGGTAGAGTAAAAGAAATGAGTTTTCTACATTTCTTGAATTTTGTATGTTTGGATTACAAACTATGTGATGAATCAAGAATTCTGCCTGTGGTAACTGGGCAAATGTATTTAAGCTTTCTGGCACACCCAAGTTATAAATCTCTCTGGAAACACAGACTGCATGAAGACTTGCACTAACGGTTCCAATTCTATTTCTGCGTTTTTATTCAATATTGTGACTTTGTCAGGCTGAAGGTACACCCTCCCATGCTATCTATGCCAGATTCCTGGAAGCTGGAACTGCACTGGAACATGTTGGCCAGTACAGGGAGGAGTTCCACAAATTACAAAACGCAATGCTTGTCATCTGAGAAAAATGAAGTGCTCCCGACCTGATGACTGATGGCTAATCATCCCCTCTGCGTGCTTTATTAGCGGCTTCATGCTTCCTGTGTGGCTCCTCTGACTTGACCGTGCCTTCTGATTCTCACCCCTCCGCCCCGCTGCCGGGCTGACACCCACCTGCTTAGCAGAAGGTTTGCTGCTCGCGGCCAAGCTGTTTTGGCAGGCAAGGAGCTGGAGAAAAATGCCAAACCAAACCAGGTTTTCTGCATGAAAAACAAAAGCAAGGTGCATGCAGGACCTATCAGAGCCCCTTTCTTAATACTGTGTGGAAATTTCTAGTCTACTGGGGCTACACGTGGCACACATTCTAAATTTCTTCCCTTCTCCGCCGCTTGTACGTGAAAAATTGTGTATTTATAAAGTTAGATGCCACCTGGAGCCACTAGATGTCGCTGCCCTCAACCTGTTCTGCACGCGGCGCTGCGGAGCCGCTTCCTGAGATCCTCAGGTTGAAAGGAAGGTGAACCGATCGTCGAAGGGAGCGCCATTCCCGCGCCAGTCGCGCCCGCTAGGCCGGGCAGGGTGCACGGAGTGGGACAGAGAGTCCTGGGGCGCTCACGGGCCACCTGCCCGCACGTGCCCACCACGTCTGCCTACCAGTTTCCACTTTGCAGGAAAGGAAACGGAGAGGGAAAGTCAGCTATAGGCGCAGGAACAGCACGTCCGCATCAGCTCGGGGACCCTGGCTCCTGGGAGGGGCTGCTCGCTGGTTCCGGATTGGGGAAACCGGGACAGGGACCCGAGGACAGGTTCTGGTGGAGCCGGGTTGCTATGGGGTTCATAACTAATGCTACACAATTGTGGGAGGTGCACGGCCTACGGGGTAAGCCTCCATCGCGAGCAGAAACATCTGGGAGGGCCCCGCCTTTGAGAACGTGCCCGTTGCGGGGCACAGGTGATGCCTCAGGAAGGGGGCGTGGTGTGGCTGGCGTCTGACCCGGGGCTTTTTCTTAACTATTTTCTTAGCTACCTCTTAACTAAATTCTCCCTCTTCTTGCAACGTTCCAGTTGTAATATTCATTCCTATTGGGTATGAACAAACCCATCGACACTGCATGCCGGAAATGACCATTTGTGCAGGAGACAGCGAGCTAAATTATCCATCTATTACCATTGAGCCACAGTGAGAAGGCGCAGAAACCCGAGGGCGTCTGGAAACGAGCGGAGCAGTAAAGCAGCAGGCGCTGCGTTTTATTTGTGCAGTTAGGTTCAAGAACATTCGTCGAGGGTGGGGGCAGACGGTCTCTGTGGTTGGGATCTGAGATCATGGATTTCCTTTCTGAATTCAGGATGAGGAGAAGCCTGCCAGCGGCCTGCAGCGTCCACTGAGCGCTTCTCTCTCTCTCTCTCTCTCTCTCTCTCTCTCTCTCTCTCTCCTTTTTGTTAAGGAAGGCAATGGTCACCGTCTCCCACCAGCCAGGCTGGAGATAGCGAGGTGCCCGGGTGATTGGAGATTCTTTTTACCCTGGGCATATTTGGATGGATGCTTGTTTTTCTGTTTCTACTTGAAGGAATTAGCTGGATGACAGGATTCGCAGGTTTTGTCTGTACTCAGTGTTGGGCTGTGGCTAAGAGGGTTTCCAGGTGGGCAGAGAGAGAGGTAGACAGGAGCTGGGGGTCTCAGCCTGGGGCAACATCGCTGGAATGCAGAGAGCTGTGTGGTTCCTAAGTGGGGGAGCGATCAGCAGAGGAAAAGGCAGGTGACACGGGGGCCTCATATATGATTCTCAAATCGAATCCGGGCTTCTTCGGCTGGGACACATCAGAGAACTCCCAGCCCCAGAGGAGAGGACCCCCTGGCGGGGAGGGGCACAGAATTGGTGAGAGAAGACAGTAGTGCAGTGGGCCAGGTGAGAAGTGCCAAGGAAAAAGAGGAAGGTGTGTGTGTGTGTGTGTGTGTGTGTGTGTTTAGTCCCAGGTAGAGAGTGACATTGCAGCAAATGTGTGGCGCCTGTGAGGGGTCGTCCCAGGGAAGGCAGGGGACAGCATTCAGGTGGCACGTCCTGAGGCAGGATTATGCTGGTGTGACCGACGCGTATGGCTGGGGAGTGAATGAGCAGGGAGAGCACCGACGTGGGCCAGATCCTGGTGGGGAGGGGTTTGTAGTCAGTGGGACACTTGGGCTGCACTCAGGGAGAGACGGGGCTGAGCACAGGACGGCCAGCCTCTGACTCCCGTTTTGATAGAGGAGCCAAGGCTGCTTAGAGAAGCCTGGCAAGGAGGTGATGGCAGTGGTAGAGGTGAGAGATCATGGTGGTTAAGCCTGGGAGACACAGGGTCAGCACTGAAATGTGGTTAGTTTCTGGACATATTTGGATTACACAGTCCAAACCAGGCCTGCAGGAACCAGTTCAGGAAGGCAGGTTGTGAAATACTTAGGGACTCTGTCATCTGGTGGTTAAGCTATCGGAGGCTTGAAATTAGCCATGGTGGGAGTATTTACACCACTGGCATGAGCAAATGGGGCACAAAGAGCTTCTTTCTTTCACAGGGCCTATTCCTCAGCACATCCCAGCATGTGGGGGAAGAGACAGGTGCAGCTGTGGGCAGGGCTGCCCGTGTAGCTGGGGTGCACTAGCTTCCAGGCTTGGCCTGCCGTAGAATTCCTGCCATTTGAAATGCTCTGCTACCTGTATTTGAAGGTGTGTCATCTAGTCTTTCTTTTCAGGTAGATTATATCTAATTCATATCTATCTAGGAGAAAATTGGTATGCAGTGTAACATATGGGGCCAGCATTGTGGTGTGGTGGGTTAAACCAATGTTTGTGATGCCTGCAGGATGCTGCTTCGAGTCCCGGCTGCTCTGCTTCTAATCCAGCTCCCTGTTAACGCACCTGGGAGATCAGCAGAAGGTGGCACAAGTAATTGGGCCCCTGTTACCCACATGGGAGATCCAGATGGAATTTGGGACTCCTGGCTTCAGCCTGGCCAAGCCCTTGCCATTTGAGAGTGAGCCAGTGGATGGAAGATCTTTTTTTCTAGTTCTCTCTCTGCCGTTCTTTCAAATAAATGATAATAATAGTAAAAAGATACAACATATGATTACAAATAATCATGTTTTTCAGGTTCATGTTCTTGGACTACAGCTCTTCATCATCCTCTGAGAGGAGACCAAGCCCACACTGGCCCACTGATTGGTACTTTGTGCTATGTTATGTCCTTGCAAAACTTTTCCTCCTGGCAACTTCTCAAACTGCCTATCCCTTCATCCTGATTTGTACTTCCTGAGGACATCAAGGAATCAAACTCTGTGTTCCTCAGCAGTTTGAAAATTAGCAGTCATGCCATAGCAGTGTTCAGTAGCAATGATTTTTGGCATTGTCCATGACTTTGGCTTGGATATGAGACATCTTTGAGAAGTTCATGGAAAATGCATATTATGCACACATTACACTATGCATGTGTTACAGAATCGTTTTGCACCAAAATAAACTTTTCAAAAATTTATGTATTTATGTGAAAGGAAGGGAAAAGAGAGAGTGCTCACATTTGCTGGTTCACTCCCTAAATGCCTTCAGTGGCCAGGACTGCCTCCCCAAGGATCCACATAAGCAGTAAGTTGGCATCGAGAACCAGACCAGAGGTGAGTATGGAAGCAGGCACCCTAGTATGAGATGTGGGCCTCTCAACAGCCAGGCCAAACACTCACCCTCACTTATCTTTTAATTCCATTTCCCACAGACTTTTTGAAGTGCCTCATACCTTTGTTTTACAGTGTCCCTTCTGCATCAGCCTAAGCATCTGAGGTTAAGTTCCGTAGAAACTTGGCCCTGGCTGGGCCATATGTGGTGACTGCTCCTTTGTACACAGCAAGAGTTCTTGCTGCTCTTTAGAACAGGCAGAGCTAGCCCAGTTTTGAGCACACAGATCTTCCTTTTGAGGCTAATAGAAACACACTGGAAATTTTACAAGAAGTGGCTTTTCTGTGACGTTTCCAGAATTTTCACCTACTACACGGCCTGGCACTGACAGCCCCTGTCCGTCAGTATGGGCCTTTCCAACTGGGAGCAGGAGCTCAGAGGTGTGAATCTGCAGTGAGGGCTAAGGCAGCCAGGCAGCGGGGCCCTGGAGCCAGGATGTCCAGGCACCGTCCCCGACTGGCCTTGACTCACCCTTTTGGATAGGAAAGGCCACGGTAGATGCTCAGCCTCACTGAGGAGTTTGCAAAGATTGGCTACAGCCTATGCGCTGGTTTTGGGGTGGAGCTGGCTGCCAGACCTGGAGGTGGAATGCCCTGTGGCCTGTGCTGTGTGGCTGAGGCCTGCTCCACTGTGCAGGGTGGGTGGTGGGGACCACTGGATGGTAGATTCTTGCACAGTGGCCAGCCTGTTCTGCATCTCACACCTGTTCATTCTGGCTCTGCAGCCCTGGGCATGCGATTCACTCCCTGCCTAGGGTTTGTTTCCTCATGGGCTCGAGTGGGGGAGCAGGGCTTTGAGTGTGAGCAATTAGGATCATGCCTGGTACACAGTTGGTGCTTGCTGGATCTCAGCAAAAAGAAGGAGGGCTTGGGAGTAGGTGCAAAGCATCCTTGATGTCCCTGGAGCCTGGGCAGTGCTATGATTGTTCCTGGGTCAGGCTGGAAGGAAAACATGCCAGCATGCATACTCCATGAGGGGGTGCTGGGCAGCACCTGCTACCTGCTTCAGTAGGAGTCGGGGTCAGAGCAGGAAGGTGCACAAGAAATGGAATGCCCAGCCTGTGAACATGGCAGGGTCCAAATGCAGAGGAAGGGACGCCACACACACAGTACGTGTGCCGCTCCACAGCAGTCCTGGTCTCAGAAGGTCCTTGAGTGATCCTGGTCAAGGTACTTACACTTCAGGCCTCCGTGACACCTGCATGCCTAGGAGGTTGACACCCACAATTCCGAGACCCTTCCCATTGCAGATTCCGAGTGGAGACAGGAGAAAGGGTCCTGCATGATGGACAGGCAGGTGGATGAACTTCCAAAGGAGCTGACTGTGAATGAGTTCCAGGCACCTGGTGCTGGGCAGCACGAGCTCCAGCTGAGTAACAGTCTGCCTGCAATTGGGCAAGGGGTCTGGACAGTAGGTCAGCTTCTGCCTGTAGGGATCGCCAGCTCACCTGAGTGGAGATTTGGGGCTCTACACCTGCTTCTGGGCCTCAATGGCCTGGACTGATGGTGGGAAGAAGGGCCGAGAAAACTGGATTCCCCAGAAGAAGAGAGGGGTGCATGTAAACTGGGTGGTGCTCCCCTCTGAGCAGCCCTAGCACATATGTGTCAACATGACTGGGCTAGGGGCTGCCCAGATATTTAGTCAACTGATATTCTATTCTGGGTGTTTCTGGGGGGGTGTTTTTGTATGGGACGAACATTTGAGTGGGTGGACTGAGTGAAGCAGACAGCCCTCCCTCATGTAGAGGGGCCTTATCCAATCAGCAGAGGGCCTGATAGAACAGAACTGCTGACCTCTTCAAAGTAAGACAGAGTTCCGCTCCCTGGGAGCCTTCAAATGGGGCCATCACTTCCTAGTTCTGTAGCAGCTTTTGGCTTTTGGATTCAGGCTGGAACATCAGCTGTGCAGATTCCGGACTTGATACCTCTGTGGTGACATGAGCCGTTTCCTTGTAATCATGCTCTCTCTCTTTACACACACCTATGCACACACAGTCCATCCCTCAGCATCCGAGGGGTTAAGTTCCAGGGCCTTCTCTCAGGTGGCCAAATCTGCAGACGTTCAAGTCCCTTTTGGAAGATGGTGTCATCTTTACATATCACCTATGTGATCTTCCTGTAACTTGCAGTCACCTCTAGACTAATCCAATGTAAATGCTCTGTAAATAGTTGTACACTGTGTTGTTTAGGGAACAGGATGAGGAAAAAAATCCTGTACATATTTAGCACAGATGCTTTTCTCCCCACCATTTTGATCTGCAGTGGCTGAATCTGCAAATGTGGTATCCATAGGTACAGAGAGCTAACCTGCACACCCTGTTATTAGGATCGCGATCCTATTGGTTTGGCTTTCCTGGAGCACCCTGACTAACACACTAAGTATCTGATTATCTCACATGCTGGGTTGTCAGTGTCAGGACTGGGGTCGTCTCCATGGAGCAGTGTCTGGAAGGCTCAGGGAGTGCTTTCAGGCTCCCCCTAAGGACATGAACTGCCAGAAGTAAGGGTAGGAGTCAGTGACGGGAGCAGTGACATGTGCTGGAGCACACACATCACCAGTCTTCTCTCCTGTACCCAGACTGGAGAGAAAGGACACCAGGTCAGCACCTTGTAACTTCTCCCTCCCCATTAGTCACTGGTTGTTCAGAACAAGCAGGCCCAGGGATGTGTGTGAGTAAGTAAGCTAATCCATGCAAACATTCCCAGTGGGCTTGAAAGATACTGGGAAGTATTTTAGTAGTATTGCCATTATTATTTCTGGGTTTAATTCTACGTGTGTTTAAAGAAAATGAGGAATAAGGTTCTATGACCTATGTGTTTTTAGCAAAAATGTTTAGAATTTCCCCCTTGCTCAAACTGGAAAAAAAAATCTTTCGTAATTCTCAGCTCAGACATATAAATATTCTAAACAAAAGCTTATTATTTCTACCCACTGCACCATCTATTGAGTTAAGACTGGCTAATCCTGAGGTTGACACAGTTAAATGGAAGGGTTCATTTGGAACTGTTAACACGTTGCACTGACACCTTCACTTATACAGGACCTTTCCTGCTGAGGACCTGCACTCTGCAGACTGTGTGTAAATAGAAGCACCTCCCTGCCACCACACGCAGCCTTCTCACGGGCACCGTGCGGCCCAGTCACCACCCAGCAGTCTTTCTGTTGAAAAAAAAAAAGATTGAAGACTATGAGACTGAGAGAGTATCTTGCACCTACAGATTAACTCTCTAATTCTCGACACCAACTGGATGTCTAACTAGTTAATTCAGTTGTGCCACTGTCTGGGGTTTGCCCAGACCCTGTCAACTGTGGACTTGGTCCCACAAGAATGCCTCAACGTCGGGGAATGCCTCAACGTCGGATACCTTTTCTAAGTACTGAGTGACCAGTGTTGAACTGAAGTAAATTGGGCCTAAATCAACCTCCATACTCCAGTAATAAATTTGGCCCCTAGCAGCTTCTGTACGTGGTGGATTTATCCTAGATAACCTAGAGTTCCTAACCTAAGAGTAGCCCCTTGTAACCAAACAAGTAAGTCTCTGTCAGTCACAGTAGCTGAGCTTCAGCCAATCATGGGCTATAACTGATCAGATCATATCTAAGACAATTGCCTCCTTAAGCCAATCAGGTTGCTTTTATCCATCACTTCCGTTTCTCTGGCTATAAATAGGAGCTGCATATGTGGTGGAGTGCACACCCCATCTTTGCTCTGGAATGCTGTAAGTTCTACAAGCTTCTTCTTGCTCAAGTAAGCTGTAAGAAACTTTAAAAATTTAATGTTTTAATGTGAAAGAGGGAGGGGGGAGAGAGAGAAAGAGAGAGAGAGAGAGAGAGAGAGAGAATGTTCCATATGCTTCTTCATTCACCAAATTCTCACACAGCTAGGATTGGGCCAGGCTGAAGCCAGGGGCTGAGAGTTCCATTTTGGTCTACCACATGTGTGGCAGGGTCCCAGTTTCTTGAGCAATGCATCACCTGTTACCTTCCAGGGCCTGCATTAGCAGGAAGCTGGAATTGTAGCAGAGCCAGGACTTGAACCCAGGCACTCCAGTATGGGACCTGGGTGTCCTAAGTGGCATCTTAATCACTGCACCAAACACTTACCCCAAATAAATTTGTCAAGGTCTTTTTCTTTTTTCTTTCTTTCTTTTTTTTTTTTTAAACAGGCAGAGTGGACAGTGAGAGAGACAGAGAGAAAGGTCTTCCTTTTTGCTGTTGGTTCACCCTCCAATGGCCGCCAAGGCTGGTGTGCTGCAGCCGGCGCAGCGCGCTGATCCGATGGCAGGAGCCAGGTGCTTCTCCTGGTCTCCCATGGGGTGCAGGGCCCAAGCACTTGGGCCATCCTCCACTGCACTCCTGGGCCACAGCAGAGAGCTGGCCTGGAAGAGGGGCAACCGGGGCAGAATCTGGCGCCCCGACCGGGACTAGAACCCGGTGTACCGGCGCTGCAAGGCGGAGGATTAGCCTAGTGAGCCGCGGCGCTGGCCAAGGTCTTTTTCTTTTTTTAAAGATGTATTTATTCATTTAGAAGGCAGAGTTATGGAGTGAGTGAGTGAGATTTCCATCTGCTGGTTCACTCCCCAAATAGCTGCAAGAGCAGAAGCTTGGAACCGGAGCCCCAAAGCCATGAGCCAGGAGCCAAGAGCTTCTTCTGGGCCTCCCACATGGGTGCAGGGGCTCAGGGACTTGGGCCATCTTCCACTGCTTTCCCAGGTGCAGTAGCAGGGACCTGGATTGGGTTTGGAGCAGCTGGGACTCAAACTGGTTCTCATATGTGATGCCAGCGCAGCAGGTGGTGGGCTCTACCCACTATGCCACAGTGCCAGCCCCTCAGCTTTTCTTTTACCAGGTCACCCACACTTTTGTCTAATTTGTCTACAAATGTGAGGTTCCCATGGCCCTTCCTGAGGTTGAATAATTGGCTACTATCACTCAAAAAACTCATGGGAACTCTACCCATTATTACCAGTTTATTATGGAGGCGAAAACTCAGGAAGACCCAAATGGGAGAGATGCAGAAGGAAGGTGTGGAGCTCAGGTGCATGGGGCTTCCATGGTCTCTCTGGGTAAGTTATCCTCCCCAGACCTTGCTGTATTTAACAGCCTGGAAGCTCCCGCAACTCCACTCAATGTTGTGTTGGAAGTTCCATTATATAGGGACGAGTGATTATGTCATTGCCACTGGTGATCAAACTCAATTTCCAGCTCCTCTCCTCTCCCAGAGGTTGGGGTGTGAGGCCCAGAAGCTCCAACCTTCTGATCACGTGGCCGATTCTACTGGCTGTCAGTTGCCGTCCTGATGCTATTTGGGGCTCCCTAGGCATTAGCATAAACTCTGGTACAGCAGAAAGGGGCTTCTTACGAGTGATAAAAGATGCTTCTCTCACCTCATTCTCAGAAACTCCGAGGGCTTTAGGAGCTCTGTGTTAGGAATTGGGAAAAAAGACCAGATATGTATATTTGCCCTTAGACCACACAAGAGTGCGTTCTTCATTTGATCAGTACTGTCACAATGAAATGAAGCCAGGACACCACTGTGGACAGGTCGCCATCCAGGGACAGAGCTCTGGGGTGTCTGAGATGGCTTCCTTCAGCTCTCGTCTCCCACAGAACATGCCTTCTGTATCAGCACCATCTAATGGTGGTGGTGGTGAAAATGTTCCGTAACGTGCATTGCCCCATAAGGTAGCCACTAACCACGTCCGGCCAGGAGCACTTGACATGTGGCTAGTTAGGACTGCCATGTTATTTATTTACTTTTACAATTATTTAGTTTCATTCAGTTGACTATGCTGTGCAAAGCACAGAATCTCTGGAAATGACTGATGACCTGACATGTGGGCAGTGGTGACTCTTGCTGGGTCAGGAGCAGCCCTATGCACCCCCCACCCTCACTCTGACATTGCAACTCAAAGTGAAGAGATGCTGGCCTTCCAGAAGGTCACTGTGGAATCCATCCATCCCCTCCCTCCTTCCTTCCTTCCTTCCTTCCTTCCTTCCTTCCTTCCTTCCTTCCTTCCTTCCTTCCTTCCTTCCTCTCAAAAGATTATTTATTTATTTGAAAGTCAGAGTTACACAGAGAGGAGAGGCAGAGAGAGGGAGAGAGGTCTTCCGTCCGATTGTTCACTCCCCAGTTGGCCGCAATGGCCGAAGCTGCTCAGGATCCTGGAGCATCTTCCAGGTCTCCCACGCAGGTGCAGGGGTCCAAGGACTTGGGCCATGTTCTACTGCTTTCCCAGGCCACAGCAGAGAGCTGGATCAGAAGTGGAGCAGCCGGGACTAGAACTGGTGCCCATATGGGATGCCAGTGCTTCAGGCCAGGGCGTTAACCAGCTGTGCCACAGCACTGGCCCCAATCCACTTATTCTTTCAAAGAATGCATTTTTAAGGAAAAAAATACTTTATTTGCTTGAAAGGCAGAGAGAGAGAGAGCGCGTGCAAGAGAAAGAGATTCCATCTTCTGGTCCACTCCCCAGATGGCTACCATGGCAGGGGCTGGGCCAGGCTGATGCTAGGAACCAGGAACCCTATCCTGCTCTCCCATGTGGGTGGCAGGGGCCCAAGCTCTTGAGCCACCTTCTGCTGTTTTCCCAGGCCTTTAACAGGGAGCTGGGTTGGAAGTAGAGCAGCCGGGACTTAAACTGGCGCTGTGATATGGATTGCACATGTTGAGTGGTGACTTAAGCCACTGTGCCACAATGCCCATGAGCAAATACTTTTTGAACATATTCAACAGAGTCACATTTAACACGTTTCCTGAAAAATGGACATTTTGAATTTAGAGCCACGTGGCAATTCTTTGTTTAGATGCAGGATCAAACTTTGGAATAAAAGTCAGGTTAATTACTATGATTATGTTTCAGAAGAGCACTCCCGCCTAAAGTGAGTGCAGAGAAGGGCTGATTCCCGGCGGAAGGAGAGGGAGGAAAGAAGGGATGACTCCAAGTGTTAAATATTGAGGGTCCTCCCAGACCAAGTCGGCGCCTTTAACACGGACATGGGTGTATGGTGTGTAGGGTGCTGGTGATGGAAGCGGAACGCTGCGGATGGCAGCATTTTCAGGAGGGAAGCTGATTCCCCCCAGGTGAAACTGTGGTATGGGAAGAGGAAGGAGAAAGCCAGCTGGAGGCGCTGAAGCAGAGCTCAGGTGGAGAGAAGCAGGAGACTTAAGAGCCATACAGGGAGACGGAAAGATGCACTGAGGGCAGGACCCGGGGGAAGCAGCTTCGCACAGAGCACGTGGGCGCGCGCGCGCATGCGGGGTGAGGGGTGCCTCGCAGGGGGCCTCTGCCTCCTGAGCAAACCGAAGTTGGTCAGTTTCTCCAAGGGGGGCACGGCCTTGGAGGTAGGCTGAGAACGGTGGCCGGCTCTGTGAGCGCTCGGAGAGGAGAGCCTGAGGAAGAGCCGAGTGAGAGCAGGTCTTGGAAACAGGAGTGGGGGTGGCTGCAGGGACCACCCGGAGGCGGAGGTGGGGGGAAGGCTCCAGCTCTGCTGTGGAGCCGCATAAGGCCAGGGGCAGGTGTATGATGTCCCTCATGGGGACTGAAGTGTTTCCTCTGCTGGAGGCTAGCGCAGTGGCTTTCCCGGGGGAGAAAGAAAGGCTGAAAGAGTGACGCCTGCAGGGGTTCGGGTGCGTGTTTGCTTCTGTGTGCTGTGGGCAGCAGCCCTCGTGTGCTCATCCAGATACTCTGGTTGTCTGGTCCACGGTGGCTTCACCTCCCGTAACTGTGACACTGTAGCCCATGGGACTGGCCAGGGAGGATCTTCGTGGTTTTTCTTGAGCTCTCTGTTAAAACAGAATGGAACGTTTGCCATGAAGCACACTTGCTTTTGCATCTGCTGTGGCGCCACTGTGGTCTGAATGACTCTCTAGGGATTGAGGACAAGGTGCATTTGTATGGAGCTTGCTAAGTCCTGGGGCTGTGTTACTGAGTGCAACAAATCCTAGGAACTGTTGCTTCTTTTATGCCCTTTAATTAACTTTGAAATTTAATCTCTCCCTTTAATATTGTATAAGTAAATATATAGGCGCTTAAGTGCATTAAAATATATTTATATTGTAATATATATATTTCAATACATTTTAATTGAGAAGGATTTGAAATGGGATTCTTGTGCTTACATAAGTCACCAATAACTTGGCCTGGTTTGTTTGAACCTTTGCAAGTTTATATCAATGTTTTTAATCCAATGACTTTGAATTTTTTTTTAAGATTTATTTGAAAGGCAGAGAGACCAAGAGAGAGATCGTCTATCTACTGGTTCATTCTTCATGTGGCTGCAACAGCCAGGTCTGGGCCAGGCTGGAGGCAGGAGGCAGAAAATCTTTCTGGTCTTTTATGTGAGTAGCAGAGGCCCAAGTACTTGGGCCACCCTACTCTGCTTTCCCAGATGCATTAGCAGGGACTGGATTAGAAGAAGAGCGGCTGGGACGCACACTGGTGCTCCGGTAGAGGGTGCCAGTGTCAGAAGCAATGGCTTAGCTTTCTGCACCACAGTGTTGGCCCTGGGATAGATTTTTGATCCCTCGTTATGAGAGTTTCAACATCCTTGATCTCTTTATTCCAGAATCTGAGATAACTTCACATTTGAAATTGGAAGAACAGGACGTCAGCGTGAGGAGCTATCTCCTTCCTTGACTGTGTGCTGGGCAGTCAAAACTGATGCTAGCCTCAGGGCACAGGGCTGGATCAGCGGTCCTGGCCCCAAAGCCCTGGGATCAGACAGCCCCATTTGAAGATGTGCCAAGGTCTGGAAGGTCAGATGCAAGGGCTGAAGCACAGGGGTCAGGCTGTTTGCAAGAGGCTGACTGAGAACTGACACTGACCTGGAGCCCTGGAGCCCTGGAGCCCTGCTTTGTGATGGCCATGCTCTTGGCATTGGAGGACAAGCAGGCAGGGGGCAGGAAAACAGAATATTCCCTGCAGGCTGGGCTGGAGCCCTACTACCAGGGGGGATGGACCAAATACAAGGAAGAGTCTCCTGCAGGAGTCTGCAAGGGCTGGCCACACAGCTGTCCTAGGGTCCCCACCTCTCCAGCCTCTTGGATTCCTGATTTGGTTTCAAAATTGTGTTTC